GTATCATAACTATTTTTTCATAGAACTGTCCGATAAAAATTCGAGCAATAATAACATTATTTCTAAATGATTTGCAAATCATTCGTGTCTCATTACACAAATCATTTGATGGATCTAAATTTCTTAATAACATTGTTGGATTTTTTTTTCAAAATAAGTCGATGAGGAGAAAGTCCATTCGGCATCAATGAGTTGAGAAATTCAACTTGATAAATATTTGAAGTATCATCAGTAACACAATCAAAACTACAGTAAACAATTTCTTCTCCTGAAAAGTATTTAACAATTTTTTTATTAAATTGATCAACATAATAATTTTTTTATTACTAGTATAACTCTTTTTATAATATATTCTGAAAATGCAGCGTTTTCATGTAGATATAAAAATATTATATTTATTAATAAATCTTCAGAATTCTCGTCATTTGAATATTCTATTATAATGTCATATTGAATATAAACAAATCTATTTTTAATTTATTCTTCATTTTCATTTTCAATTCTAAGTATGAATTCACAAAATAAAAGATTTGATCATGCTCTCATATTTTTCTTTAATCTAAAAACTTCAATGTCTTGTCATAAATATGATTTTACCAAGCTATAATTAATATTTTCCAATTTTGATGCATGTCTTACCACAGGTAATACTTGTCGAAAGTCACCTACAAATACAACAATCTTACCACCAAAGTAATTGGAGTTATCAATGATATCTCACAGAGTCATATTCAAATATTTTATTATTGTATGTTTTACTATAGGTATTTCATCCCAAAGTATACTATTTGATTTAATGAGTAACTGAGCAAGTTTACTTTGCTTATTAATTACACACGTACTGCTTTCTGTTGAATTTATAGAAAATTTAAATCTTGAATGTGTTGTTCGACCTCTAGATAATATTGAAGTTGTCACTCCTAACGTAGTCATTGCAAATGTTATCTGATCATTACTTCTTATAAATATGTTTTTCTTGCACCTCTAAGACCATCAATAAAAAAGAAATCATTTTATTTTTTTACTAACACGACTAATAATTTCATCATATACATTCATCGGATTTCTATTAAGGCAAGAAATACTATTTATATCTTCAATAGCAATGATCATATTTAAATCTTCTATTACTTCTTTATTATGGAACTCGCCATTAATTTCAATAAAGGCATTTTCTACACTTGACATTTTTGTCAAATCAAATTCTTCAAGGGAACTCCCTATTCTTTCAAGATAATTTAATAACTGATAATATTTTTATCATACATTATTCAATAGTAACCATATAATTGCTTTGATAATCTTGAGATAAATCCTTATAATAGTTGATCCACAATTGGTGAACATTAGTTGACTCACAATAAATGACAATGAACCGAAAAGGAAAGACTAATGCCAAAAGATAACTTATTCAAAACTCTAAACTTGACAGAAGACAAACAAATCCTCCACAAGCTCTTGATTCATTGGCCTTAAAACAAATTAGGACTGCAAAGACTATCAATTTTGCTTAAAAATCATTTTAGCTTTAAATCAAATTGAAATTTACTCTATAAATTTAGAGTGACAAGTAAATATCTCAATTATATCATTTTTTCAAGTCAATTATAACTTAGACATCGCTTACTAAAAATGTGATTCAAGAAAGCTCAAAAATATTTATATTACATTAAATTTGTATGCATATATATGTGCTTCCAACAAGTGACTTGATAGTTAATTTCTAATCTCATTGGCATGCAACAAAAGTTTAAATATCCCTTGCGGTTATAATTTTTTTTATTGTTTTCAAAGTAACAAGAGAAACACATTTTACTTGAGTCACATGCTAATTTGAGAGATTAATTTGAAATGAATTTACTTGGGTCATAATAATCAAGACATTACAAAGACATGAACCATGTTTCATAAATAATTGATTGAGAACTAGCTTAAATCACCTAAAACTTAAAAAAAGTCTAAAATTGCCTAAAGTTTTGAGTCACTCAAAATTGAATTTTAGATAAGTAGCCCAAGAGTTAGCTCTAACTTAGTTATTTGTACTAATTTGTTGAATTTGCAAAATGGATTAACGAAGTTGCTCATTAATCAAAGTTATTCATTCAAAAAGAACTCGTCAACTTGCTCGAAGTACTCATGAGCCGATTAAGGGATCTTGCTAGAAGAACTTGCCAAGGTAAACTCGTTCTCAAATTGAAACAAATCTACAGTTCTCTTAATTAGAGCCAACTTTAGAATAAACTTGCCTGTTATATAATTTAGAATAAACTCGCTCTCAATCCATACATTATCTATGTAATTTTATAATATAATTAATTCTACAAGGTCAATCTTGATCATCACCTATAAATAAAGGGCTTTTGGTTAAGTTTAGTTACAAAAAAATTAAAAGAAAAAATTTAAAAGAAAGCCATATGACATTAACTACAATTCTTTCTAAAATCTCTCTACCTAAATTGTTTCTAAGTATCTCGATTCAGCTCACCCTTCTTTCTTCAAAGGGTTCAATTGAGCTTGTAAACCGATTCTTTAAGAAATTCCTAGGGCTTTAGGCTCTCTCTCATCGCTCTTTGGGTTCGATTTATTTTTCTAGTAAGGTATTAATATATTTCCAAAGAGAATTTTGAATTTAACAATACATTAAATAACCACATTGTCTCCTTTATGCCATTATTGAAGACTAACCATCAAGGACAATCATAATTAAAAAAAAAATAGTTTATCATGATACATTCACATGATTGGGCATAGAGTGTTTAATATTTTTTTTTTTGGCAATTTAAATCAAATGAGGACCCATTTATAACTAAACAAAAAAAAATTGAAATTTTTATCAAAAAGAAAGATTAAGGGACTAAATAGCATATAGGTCTAACATAAACTAAGCCTTTTTTAATCTTTTACACAAAATTGGAGAAATTACATACAAATTGACATATAAGCAAGGTTTAAAATGACGCAAGTGGGTATTGAGACGTTTTTTATTCGTGAGGCGAGGCGTAAGCCTTAAAAAAAATTATGTTAAGTCAAAATAAATATTAAAATTGATTTTTTATATAATACCCAAATAATATGTTAAACGATGACATTTTAATTTTCTATTGAATTATGGAGTAACAAATTAACATACATATGAAATAAAAAATTGCACAAGATGTAAAGTGACAAGTGATAATTTTTTTCTTCTTAATTTATTTTTGTCATTTTTCTCTTGCATAAATATTTATCATTAACATAAATATGAGAATAATACTCTAAAAATTTTAGAGGAGGAGGTGGTGGTGGTGTGCGAGTTTCAAGTGATCCCCGGTGGCGGCTACGACGGCGGTGACTATGAAGAAAACAAAAGGCTGGAGGTCAAAGCAGTCCAAAAGAAGTTGTTGGTGCTTGGGGGTGTGTTAAAAGCGTGATTTGATTGGGGCTTTAATTTAGGATTCACGTAAGTTATATATATATATATATAATATATATATTATTATATATATATATATATATATATATATATATATATATATATATTTTATAGAGACGTAAGCCTCACGCTAGCGAGGTGTGGCTTGCCTCAAGGTGGGCCTCAGCCAAGCTGAGGTGCAAGCCTCATAAAAATATGTTTGAGGCATAAGCCTTTGTGCATTTTTCAGTAAAATTGCAATGAGGCGGCCTCAAGATGAGCATCATAATGCATAATTTAAAAAAAAATGCATATAAGCACAATATAACAAACAATTTGCAATTTGCAATTTGCTTTACAAAAAGACAAACATGGCAACATGAAGTTCAAACAAAAGCACAGATTTTCAGCAACATTATTCTCAATGATATACCATAATTATACTTATATTAATTATGATTATAAATCTATGTAATTAATTGGTAAAGCTATGAATATTTGTCTTGTAGGAATATAGTTATAGATTCCTTGTTAAGCTAGACATAATTGAGGAAATTTCTCAAGCATTGTATGTATCATACCTATTCTTTCAAATATAATAAGGAGAACCCTCTATGTGAGGGCAAGCAATTTGCGCAAGTAGCTTTAATTTCCAAGGTATCAGAGCTACAATCTAAGTCTTCATCTCTTGTTCACCGTACTGAAGCACATTGTCTTCTCACATCTCATCCCAAATGCTCGTCCGAGAGTGTATCATCTCCTAAAGATCCTAGACAATTCAAATTTGAGAAAAACTCCTCTCCGACAAATCTCATACATCATTGATTCGAAGGCTGACCACTCGCCTTTGCCGCACACAATTGGATCTTCTGGTCTTAGTAGTCTTATCATGTTTCATTACCACAGGACATGTCTTACATAAAGTTGTTGGAATCCTACCATAAGACACCCATCCTTCAAATTAGAGATATGAAGTTGTCTGCTTCCAAATATCTACTCTCTCCTAAAAATTATAGCTCCTCATGCATCATGAACACATTGCACAAGTCCTCGCCAACAACAATCATGACAGTGATAAAATCCAACCAGACTTATAACATTTTCAACCACCTCAATTGCATTGTAGTTGCTTGACAACATTTTCAGCCACATCAATGGCATCTACGACAATGAAATCTTCAAGCACAATATTAATGTCAATTATGATATCTACCAACATAATTCTTTATGTATCCCTCAATAATCATCACATCGGTGAGATATCTGTTAATGATTG